TGAACAGCGCTTACCACTACACCTCCACCCCCACCCCGTAAGTTGCCGGCCTCGTCGAAAAATATGGGGAAACAGCCCGGCACTGCGTTGAACATCATTAGAATCAGCTTTCTTTTTCAAAACACATTCAGCTTCAGAGGTTGGGGTGGTGTGAAAGGTTTTAGTTCACACTGAGAATTGAAGCTGTCAGCTTGATACCGGAATCTCGTCGTATAAAAGCTTCGGAGTTAATGCCTATGATGTCAAACTCATTCAAGTCAACCGTTGGCTAGCCTAAGTCTTGAGGTGCGTTGGGCGGCTTGAAATCAAGGTGCTTACTTGCAAATTGTGGGAGTCAAATCTTCTTACCACACGCCTTTCGTATACGATCGTATACGATATGTAACCCTTTCCAAGAAGACTAATCTGTACAGAATACGGAGTAGCGCGATCGGAGTTATCGTATCTCCTCGTCTGGGGGCAAGGCACAATTAGCGCAATATCATTAGTGTATTAACTAACCGTGCCAAGCGCATCTCACTACCTCCCATTAGTGAGTGCGCCACACCGTAAAGGTAAAAACACCGCAACGGTAAAGGTACCTTTTGTATGAGTTCATCATACAAACAGTACTTATAGAAAAACATGAATATCTTCAACATTATAGTAGATATGAGTTCTATATTATAATTGAAGTATATGTACGGAGTATCATGCTCTAAGGGCCTGTTCGGTGACCCCGTCCAGGGCCGTCCAGGGCCGTACAGCCTGGCACTGTACGGACTTATACGGCCCTGGACGGACTTGTACGCGCTAACCTGGCCGAATAAGCCCTGCTGTTCGGTAGATTCTGTGTATAACCCCATATAACTCACCAAGAGTGCCAAGCTGGTTTCAAAATCCACTTTATAGAGTTCGACGGCGTAATAAGTTCAAAAACAGGCAGATTTAAACCTTTTCAGGTTAAATCCATACGTCTGCTGTACGGCCACGCTGGAACGTTTTTCCAACAATCATTCCATCTTCCAGATTGGCAGAACCCCCGCCAGGAACTCATCTCTAACCTGGTC